AAGTTTGATTCTATTTTTGTGGTGGTGGATCGCTTTAGCAAAATGGCACATTTTATTGCTTGCAAGAAAACATCTGATACCTCATATATTGCTGATTTATATTTTAAAGAAATTGTTCGTTTTCATTGTATTCCTCGCACTTTTACTTTTGATAGATATACTAGATTTTTGAGTCATTTTTGGAGAACACTTTGGGTAAAATTAGGAACTACTCTTCAATTTAGCAGTGCATATCATCCACAAACTGACGGACAAACGGATGTTATCAATCGAAGTTTTGGAAACTTATTGAGATGCCTAGCAGGTGAGAAACCATCCCAATGGGATTTGATTTTTCCCCAAGCTAAATTTGCTTACAATAATTCTGTTAATCGCACCACTGGTAAAACTCCATTTGAAATCATTTATGGTCAGCTTATACCTCACATTTTAGATAGAAATTGTTTGCCTTTGCCAAATAAAATTAGTGTTGAAGCTTTTGAAACCTTTGACTATATCAAAACGGTCCAACAAGTTCTTGAAAAACTGCGAATGGCTAATGTTAAATATAAAACTAATGCTGCAAACATCGTAGAGAAGTGTATTTCAAAGAAAGAGATTTGGTTATGGCTTACTTTCGTCGCCAACGATTTATGTTGGTACTTTTGGAAAATTAAGCAGGAAGAAGTTTGGGCCTTTTCGTGTTCTAAAAAAATTGGGCTCAAATGCTTATCTCTTAGATCTTCCTTCTACTGTTGGCACTTCTCCTGTGTTTAAAGTTTTTGATCTTTCTTTATATGAAGGAAATTCTGAAGATCATGTGGAAATTGAAACTTTACCACTCTCCACTTATGTTTTAAGTTATGATGAACAGGTTTAACATATTATTGATGTCAAGGTTACTAAAACTCGGCATGGCAAACACATGAGGTTCTTGGAAAATAGAAGAATCGTCCTTTGACAGACTGTACTTGGATGGATGCAAATGAGCTTAAAAAGCATTATCCATAGCTTTATAAAAGAATTATGGAAGCTTTCTCATCAGGAGATGAGATTTTTCCACCAGGCGAGAATTGATGCATTAATGTTTTTTAGTCTATTTTTGTTTTGATGTATTTTGAACAATATTAGATGTCCTTTATATTTTTTTTAAGTTATCCAATGAGGGTGGGCATCCAATGATCATGGTAGGAAGTGCTTGGGCATTGCAATCCTTGGGCTTGCTCGCTTTTAGGTCCTTTTTGTCCTTAGGCAGCTTGCTGTTCTCGGTTTGGAGCTGTTTGCTGCTCTCGGGTTGGACCTTGGGTGCTTGGTGATGAGCTTAAAAATGTGGGTTCTACTTGGTGTTAGCTCATTAATGTTTGAGCTGAAGTTTAACTCAATAATTGGTGGAATAAATTCTCTTCCTAGCTCATAAATTCAAAAAGGTATGCTCATTATTGTGGAGTGGACTTGTGTCTCTTTCCTTCCCCTTGTCTTCTCGATTTCTGTTGTCTCTTGCTGTTCCCGTGGTCACCCCCTCTCGGTTTTATCCCCTGGCTGTTTTCCCATGAAGCTCTGCCCTATTTCCCGTGCTGGCTCTTCGGGTCCCTTGCTGGCTGGGCTTCCCGTGACTTCTGGCTGGGTTTCCCGTATTTCTTTCTTCCTATTTTCTGTGCAGTTTAATGGGATATTATGGTGGCTTTTGGCCTTTCATTTCACCAAATCTGATTGGATTTGGTTGGAGGTGTTGTGGCTATTTAGCTTCTTTTTTTGTCTATATAACAGAGATGTTTTGGGTTGAAAAGGGTTGTTGAAAATCTGAGTAAAAACTCTACAAAAACCTAAGGGTTTCTTCTTCGAAAAGATTGAGAGCTTGTTCCACCCCCCCCCCCTTCCTCCTCTATTTCGTCTTGGCTTCTAACCACTTTTTCTCTACGCAAGTTCCACTCCACTTATATCCTTCTTCTTGAGCTCTGGAAGTTGTTTGTTGGCTGAAATTTGGAGACATTTGTCGGAGGAGTTTGGTAGGACGTTGGACTCATTTGTAGTGGTGGACCCTCGGTTTGCAAGCCTAAACACAATTTTTAAATATTTTCCTACTCTCGTTGCATGTGAGGAAACCGCTAGACGGTTATTCTGAGGATAGCGTTTTATGTTCTTATTTTATTTCGTTTGATTTGATTTTTGTTTCTTCGAACGTTTGTTTGTTTATTTGCAAACTATAGTGAATCGAGTTTAATTTTTATTTTGTCCTGTTGTTCTCCAATTGTCTTTTCTCTCTAATTTGCTCGCATCAAAATACCAACAGGATTTATGAAAAAATCTGGAGATAACAAGGTGTGCAGGTTAAAATAGGCTCTATATGGGCTTAAACAATCACCAAGGGCTTCGTTTAGAAGATTCTCAAAATTCATGTTTCTTAATGGATATCAACAGAATCAAGGGGACCATACACTATTCTTTAAACACTCAAACTCAGGGAAAGTCACAATACTATTAGTCTATGTGGGTGATATTATCTTAATTGAGAATGATGAAAATGAGAAAGTAAGTCCAAGGAAAAATCTTACCAAGAAATTTAATATTAAAGAGCTTGAGAGACAAATAATTTCTTGGAATTGATGTAGCTCACTCCAACAGAGGAATCTTCATCTCACAACAAGAATACATTAAACACCTTTTGAATGAGACAGTAAAACTAACATGTAAATCAGCAGCAACACCAGTATAACCAAATCTCAAATTGGGGGAGGCTAAAGAAGATCTAGATGTAGATAAGGGTGCTTACCAGAGACTTGTGAGAAAATTGATCTACATTTCCCACACCAGACCAGATATAGCATTTGCTGTGAGTATGGTCAGTCAATTCATGCAAAAACCAAAACAAATACATGCAAGTGGTAGACAGAATACTGCACTACCTTAATGGAAACCCAAGGAAAGAGATTCTCTTTAGAGGAGATCAAGGAATAACCCTAGAAGCATACACTGATGCTGATTATGCAGGATCACCAGTAGACAAAAGATTCACTTCTGGGTACTACACAATCCTTAGAGGAAATCTAGTTACATAGAGAAGCAAGAAAGAGAATGTGGTGGCAAGATCTAGTGCAGAAGCAAAATATAGAACTATGGCCTTGAGAATATGTGAGATACTATGGATCATAATGATTCTAGAAGATCTAATGATCAAATGGGATGAACCCATGAAATTGCATTATGAAAACAAGTCAGCAATCAACATAGCTCACAATCCCGTCCAGCATGACAAAACCAAGTACATAGAAGTGGACAGACATTTTATAAAAGAAAATTTTGACAGTGGTCTTGTATGTATCAACCATGTATCATCAAAAGATCAACTTGCTAACATCCTTACCAAAGAATTGGATAACATTGTCTTTCTTAGAATGATTGTTAAGCTGGAAATGACATATCCATATTCCCCAACTTGAGGGGGAGTGTTAAATCTTAGTCGATCATCGAGAAGAGATCCTACAATCCCAAATTAGGATCCGTGGGAAGCCCATCAGGATTACGCCTAAATCACGATGATTTCCTTCCATGGTTAAGTAGTTAACTTAGGAAGGAATATATGAGGGCAATAATGTCTGATTTTGTAGTTATTTGTTACTTTTTAAGATATCCTGGATAGATCTATAAATAAGAATGAAGCTTGTGTAGTAAAATAAGTTTTTTTCCCCTCAAACTCCTGATTTCAACACTTACAAAGATAACAAAGAGGAGAAAAATGGGGTTTAGATTTCGAGAATAATTTATCGTAAATTGCTTATCTTAACATACTCTCACTAATCTTTTTTATAACCCAAAGGGAGTCTAGACGTGTATGAAGGTTGCACTGCTCCCTATGACTAGAAATAGTATCCATGGCTTGATTTGGAAGATTTGATACTATTGTTCAGAAGTCTGATAAGATTCCTAGAGAGGAATATTAGCCTATTTTCTATTATCACGCGCCTCATTATACATTTATCTATTTTGCTAACAGTGTGAATAACAGTTATCACAAGAAGTGACGATGAAGGTGTTTTCAAATAAAGATATACAGGCAAAGCCACACCTCTTCAATCATTTTTAGACGAGGCAAACTCGAATGACTCCTGGGCATTAAGGTGGTTCAATCGATTACAGTTAAATACATTGTAGGAGTCATTTAAATGGGATTACAGATACATTGAGAAACTCCAATGGATCCAAAAGTTAGACAAGATGAGCCTTTACCCATTCTAAGTAAATATCAAAGAATTTCTCAGAATTAAATAATTTCACGACTACTCATATGAAAATTTCATTTATTGTAACTGTAATCAATAAGTTTCAACAATCTCCACAGAATAGTAATCAGCATGTTGTCATTCACACCCTCAAATATATTTAAACGGGCACTAGGCTAAGGTTCGGAAAGAATTAAATAGTCAAGTGATTGACACTAATGCAAATTAGGCAAGGTCTACATCTTGGGGACAACTTGAAGCCTTGAGAGACTAAGAATAGAATTTTGTTGCTGGCTCAACAACTCAACTACTTAGTTAAAATATCAAGCAATGACTCTCGGTAAAAGCACAAGTGATCTGATATTGTTGATCAAGTCTTGCAATTGCAACGACTAAAATTTGGAAAAATATGCTAGATCAAGCAGCATTGCATATTGCCTCCAACCCATTTTTTTTCATGCAAGTACTAAATACATTGAGATTGAATGTCATTTTACATAAGAAAGATTCTTTCATATATATATATATGAAAAAAAGCGCTTCTTGCAATCTTAGGGCATATACCTTGAAGTGAATGATGAAATAGTAAATGCACTTGTAACTTTTTTTATTAAATGTTTATTGTTGGAAACGTAAAATATAGATTTAGTTGTATTTACTGTTTTCAGCTGTTATTCAGTTGAGGTTATTAGGTCAGAATGAATTATAAATTGATTTTCCCCTTTCGTCTCTCCCATTTTTTCAAAGTACAATAGAAAGGAAAATGAGCTAAGAACTGAAGTATCTTATCCGCATTGTATATACCTGAATGCATTGAGTCAGAAGTGGTGATAACTCCCTTTTAAAATTATCCCTAATCAATCCAAAAATCTTCTCCAAACAAGCAGCCAATTGTTGCTTAAATAGTAGAGCAGGATACTTGGCATCAACATGTGAAGTGCCATCTTCAGATCCAATGAGCTTCAATGGAGACCTTAAGGCCTGTAATAGGTACAGGAAGGGTGATAGTGAGTAAGCCAACAAAATAATCTGAAAAGCAATAGATACAAGTCAAAGACCACAGAAAGTAAAAAGAGTCTGAAAGGGACTACATGTTAAGTAAAATATTTTCTTTGTATAGAACAGCATGTTAAGTTTTTGCAGAATGGTGAGTTACCGGAAAAGAGAGTTTAATAAACAAATATCTTGTTTTCATCAATCCAACTCACCTGGGCCATCCTCCCACTTAAGCCTGTTGATCCAGCTGAACGCCGATTAGGTGTCTTTAGAAAAATATTTGATCTTAGATTTCTCTGCAGGAGGCATAGAAGGGCAGACGTATTTGATAACCAGTATGGCAAGATATCTTCATTCTCCCTTTCCACCTGGAGTTTATACTAACAGAAAAATGAGTTTCCCTAGCTTGTTAGCAAAAAAAAATCAGTTAAAGAGAAACAATGGTATATCAGAGAAAAGACACGTGCCAGATAAATATGACCTGAAGAACATTATTGACTGCCTCAATTATGCTGTCAAATAAAGCAGTCCTCTCGGCCTCAAAGGCTCTCCATTGGAGAAGACATCTATATAAGATACATGCCGCAACAGGTTTACCATCTTTAAAACCAAACGTTTCATTGATGCATCCAAAAACCAGATCATAATTTTCCTGCATATAAGTTTCATTTAAATCGAGACCAAAACAACCAAAAATGGATACTCAAAAGTAAAATTTGTTGGTTTTCAATAATTTCACGCCCAACATGCAGAATAGAGTCCAGGGGGTTACAAAATTAAATATCTCAATTGCTCATTTTGATAACTTCTAGAAATGCAAAAGAAGTTACAACAGTATAGCGCAATATCAGGAAAACACCTCATATCTCTCAAGGTTCATTCTTGGTCGATGTGAATCAGACATGCTTTTGGGGACAGCAACAGGATAATTTGTTTGTGTGGGAGTTTCCTGTAGGTATAAATTTACAACGATAAAAAAATTTTCAAAACAGTAAACCAAGCATAAAAGTAGGAGTATATTAAGTTTTTATAAATGGACTTACAAATCTAAGCTCCTTTTTGGTATCCGAAAGAATGAACCCACTGGGATACTTCTGTTTTCATAACACAAGAATTTTAGATCTAATCTGACTAATTAAAAATAAATGTTGATAACATCAAGAGAATATTTGCCACCAAAAAAAAAGGTATACATCTATAACAGAAGACATGTAACAAATTTACCTCTCGTAAAGATTTTGTAACGGCAGCTAGGTTATTCAATGGAGAATTGTTCATAGCGTTTTGCCTTAGAATGCGATTTTCATCTTGTAAATTAGACAGTTTCTCCTCCAAGCTAGAACACAAATAAACAAAGTCTAAATATGGAAAAAATGGCAAAACCTAAATTTCTAAAAACTTTAAAGGGGAAGTGTAAAGGTGAAAGAGGCCAGGAGCTACAAATTTAAACATATAAAGAATCACAAGCAACATTTATAGATATATATGCTTAGAATATGAATGATAAATTAAAAAAAGAAAAAATTGCCAACATACATCAAGCATTACCTCTGCAGATTATGCTGAAGGCCCACAAATTTTTTTTCTGTTTCCTGTAATTTTTCTAAAGTCACCAAACTATCCTTCTGAGATTTTTGCAGTTCATTCTCCAATTCAAAGCTTCTTTTACCCAGAGACTCCATTGAGATCTTAGAAAAATAAAGAAAGAGCATTACACGTTTGACTAATAAAGGAAAAAATAATAATAACGGATACGAATCAAAACTTGCCTATAGATAGGTGAAATTAAAGAGGACAGAGCAGTTTATTTACATGCACAACTCAAATTATCAATTCATAGGGAACAAAGTACAACGTAAACTCCCTTCACAAGTTAAGATATAGTTACGGCTTCTGAAAATGTTGAACGATTCCCCTGCCAGAAGCTTAGAAATAATATGTTACTGTAAATATAACAATAGTTGGTACCTGCCAATTCGCTTAAGTTTACTAACAAGTCTAATATGATGCAAGGCCGTTGTGTTCACTAGTATAATAACAGGCTCCCATGAGATTTTCATATGATTGCGAAAGCATAAAGATCACAACATAACTGATTCCCATGGACTCCCTGGACTTGTACAATACACGAGATCACAAGATATTAATACAAATCCCGCCAAAAACACATTACTAAAATATGCATGAAACGGTACTCCAATGCACCATATAAAAGCCAAAAAAAGGAAATCTGGAATATATAGGCATGAAAACAAACTAAGCCAAAGAAGAAAGGATGATGCTATGGCTAACAAGACAGTCCATCCAGAAAGCCAGAAATAAGATCACGAAATAATAAATCAACTCAAAGCTATCTGAAAATAATCAAGAAAATAAATTTTTTTCTAAACCTTCAGAAAATGGTTCTCCTTCTGTATTCCAGTCAATTTATCAAGATTATGTTGCAAAGTTGCCTTGTCCTTTCTCAGCATATTTATCTCACTTAAAAGAGAAGAGCTCCTATTGCATTCACCATCAATGACAAATTTGGCAGCATTTAACTCAGCATGCAATAATTCCAAAGATTTCTGAAGTTTTGAAACCTCAACATGTTTGGCCTCTTCAGCAGCAGTCTGGATGATTGGCATTATAAATATAACAAGCAGCAATGTCAAAAATTTACTTAAAACAAAATAATCGCAGTATAGAAACTAAACCTGAAAAATGTTCAATCATAAATAAAAGTCCGCTTTTCACAAAAGAAACAAATTCTTTAAATGTTCAATTTAAGTTATAATAGTACAGTTCCACTCGTATATTTAAGGAATATTAAGTTTTCAAAAAGCAAGAGGTAAAGTACATGGAATTCATGACTAGAATCAGCATACGTGCTATCAACTTTTTTCTAAATGTAGCATGCTACCACTATTTTCATGATTTATTTGCTAAAAGGCTCAGCTTATTCTAGAAGAGGATTTCAAAGTTTGCCTAGAGTAATATCCACCTATATACCTGATGAGTCAAAAATTGTTTTGCCAAAATCAATAGAATTGCAACCTGATTTCAAATATATAGAAGTCTGAAATAATACTAAAATATGAAGTAAAATAACTGAGGAAACGAGAGATAATATTTGTATGAATTTTATAGAAACATGAAATAGAAAGAGAGACCACGTGGGAGAAAGAGTCAGAAATGAGAGTTCAATATCCACTTTTATTCAATTAAGGTATGTCTATTTAATTTGCATTTAAATTTTTGGGGAGATTGTAAGAACCAGTTGGTTCGGTTCAACCGAACCGAACCACTAACTAAAGCGCAACAAGCGAACGAAGCAGGCGATCGAGCGAGCGAGCGGAGCATAGCAGGCAAAGCAGCGGAGTTGAATGAGCAAATCAAGCAAACCGACGTGATAGAATGGGTTTATTCACAACTTGCATGAGATAAGTCATTTTCACTTCGTCCAGTTAAGCCAAAACGAACGAAAAGGGATAGTGATTGAGAGGAGGCAGTGATAGAGAGAATGAAAAAGGAATTGGGAGAAAGAAAATAAATAAAGGAAGAAGAATATAGTGCTTGTAAGTGGAGTTTATTTTTCTCTATTGCTAAAAATAAGTAATTTATTATTTTATTTTGTTATTCTTTAGGTGAAGGAGAAAGTTTGTGGGAAGAAATCAAATTGGTGGAAGGCTCAATTTGGCAAAGGAAGAAGCAAAAAATTTAGGTAAGGATGAAAGTTATATAAGTGAAATTTTCAATCAATTTCAGGAATACAATATACAATGTGATTAGAAATATAGGCTGTAACTTAGAGGAGTTTGACAATTGATATTGCTTCGATGAAGTTTGACTTCTTCAGAATTGAGTCTAACAATAATTAATGTCAATTAACATTATTTTGGAACAGAGAATGAATTAAATATTAGAGTTGAGTCGAATATTGAAAATCTGCAAAAGTTCTTGGATGAAGTTAGGAGTTGCAATAAGGAATGCACTTTCAAAGATCGAGGATTTGGAAGGATTTCTACACAAAAAAAAAAAATTTTAAGTGGATAATTATAATTATTTTATAGTAATTATATTTTCTCCTCATTCAATTATTGAATGTTGTAGCATATATGTTGATAGAATGTTTATTTAATCAAATTAAGGAAAAACAAAGTAGATGATTACATTTGTTTTATATAAATTTCATTTTTTTTCCTTTTATTTCATTTTTCATTATTGAACATTGTACCACATATGTTTATTGGTTATGGTTTTTGTGTTTATTATGCATCAAATTATGGAATAGTAAGCAATTAAAGTTACAATGTGATATAAATTTATGTATATATATAGATATGTGAGAAAAATGCAAATATAGATTAATATGTACTTGAGAATGTACGTTAGAAATATGCATGCATATCAATTCTTTTTAGGCCAATTTATATTTATAGCCATTCTCTTTTATTTTTTTAATAGGTTTTAACTTTACTTGGGTAAAAATATGTTTAAATTTCAAAGTTTTTTTAGAATTTAATATGGAGTAGATTTGCACTTAAATGACTGCCTTATACTTGTAATCATATTTCTACCAAAACGGGACCAATGATGTGCAATTTAATAATTATTATTTGATGATTAAATGAATGCAAGGGCCCATCACAAGCCTTTACAGGCCCGCATTTTTACTATGGCAAATCTATAATTTTTTTTTTTTAATTTGAACTTTTTAAAATGGTTTTTCTTCATTTGGGAAATAATAAGTTTAAATTTAATTTCATGCTAGGACTGATAGGATTAGATTTGCAATTAAATGATTGGCCTTATGCTTGTAACCATATTTTTATAAATAAGAATAAATGAAATGCGATTGAGTTATTGATTGATGATTGAATGAATGCACATTACTTGCCCCCATTATCAGCTTCAAATAATACAAAAGGAAAAGATTTTATGGAAGAAAGTAATTACCCTTAGCCTTCTCTCGATGGTTAAACGCAAGGTGAGATCTTCTAAACGTTGTTCCAGTTTATTCTTTGCTTCACGTAAAGAACCAGCTTCATTAGAAGCCTGCGGAAACATTAAAATATCAGAACTCAAAAAAAAAAAAAAAAAACAGGTAAAAAAAAAAACAAAAAAAAAAAAAAAAAAAAAACAGGTAAAAAAAGAACAAGAATGGTTCTTGCATATATTTCATGATCAACAGTGATATACTAGCAGCACATATGCATTAGCCTGTATTGAAAAATAAAAAAGTGAATGGTACAGCATCAAACGAAACAAAAGGTAGAAGGTTCAAGCTCAAGTTTCTTTACTCTAAGAGTTGATAAGATATCAAGAGAGCTCTAAAGCTATCACGGCCAGCCAATGGAAATTTCATTAGAATCATATACTCAGCTTAGAACCACTGGAAATTCCACTTACAATCACCTTCACTTAAGAAAGGAGTCAATAACCGATCATCACAAAGTATGAGGATATTCTACAGCATAACTTTTTTTTTTTGAAGTTTATTGAAATCATATGAAAGAAATGCTTAAACCAAATGGACAAGGCTAGCATCAAGTAAGAAATAAACAGCAAACCACAGGAATACTCTGGCAAACAATTTTACCATCTAACATGTTTACAGATTAAATGAGTAATAAATAAGCTAAGTGATGTGAAACGTACATGCAAAGATGAGTTAATGAATTTGCACGCTTAATTTTAGAATCCACAATAATCATATCTTTATATTGGTTTTAAACGACAAAAGAAAACATAAAGAGCGGTAAGACAAGCTTAGGCTAAACTACATACATAGGAGTTAAGATCGTAAAATAGCCAACTTAATCTATGTTGCATGCATAGATGGTTTTCAATAAGATATCCCTAGATTAACAATGAGACAAGTCACTATGAGAAATTCCACTCATTCAACTCTTTAAGATTACTAGGTTTTAGCAGAGATCGATTAACAAGCTCCAAAAGAATCCATTAAGCCACGAAGTAGGGTAACTAAGAAAATAAGCGACTAGGGAAAGTGTTCACCAATATCAAGTAATATGCAAATATGGGGCTTCAAATCAGCAATCCCCTTAGCGTTAATAGTCTGGACAGCAACCTGGATAAGCTATGGAATTCTGGACGGAAACTGAAACCTTTTGGTTGAGAGATAATGTGTAGATATGCCCGCAGAAATTCGTGGACAGCAATCTGGCCTTAATGGAGCAGCAGTTTTGCAAAGGTATTGGGCTAGATTCAATGATGAAGACGTCTCAAACTTCTGGACAGCAGGATCACTCCAGAAGGAACTCTGTTTTCAGCAATCACGGGAAAGATTTGGAAGGGCTAACAAGTGGAGGGAGGAGGGGAATGGGATGACCGGCTAGAGCAGGGAGGGGGAGCAAGGCTTTGGGCAAGATTTGGGCTCCGTAGTTAGTAAACCAAGGAGGGAAAATCTGAAATGTATTTCAGATTTGGTGAATTAGGAATTAGGAGGGAGTTCAAATTTCAAACCCCAAGTAATTAAGGAGAATAAAGGGGTGGCTGATTTGGGGGTGAGGAGGGGCAGGCTGATTAAGTAAGCATTAATGGGTTGATTGAAGGCTCGATTGGGAACTTTAATTAGATAGGTAAGAGATTGGAGGGGGCCGGCCATGAGAGAGGGGAGAGAAAGGTGTCCAAGTTCAATGTATGTGGTCCCCAATGGAGTTAATGTGATTTACATCAAATCAGATTTTAAATTCAGATTTGATTTAAATTAAGGTAACTTCCAAATGAGGGGTTATTTTCATAGGAAGGCGTTTGAAATTCAAAATAGATTGAATCCCAATAATAAATCTTTCCTAAATAGCAAGGAGGTATTTTAGGAAAGTAATTATGGGTAATTTGAAATTTGAAATTCAAATTTAGGGGAGTATGGACGGATAGCCGGCTGGTGGGGATTCAATGGGGCCGGCGGCTTGGGTGTTGGCTCCGGTGGAAGGGAGGTGGGGGATTTGGTGGGACGAGTGAGGGGAAAGGGGATCCGGCGGGCTAAGGGGAGGGGAAGGCGTGGGGGTGTTGGCCGGCGGCAAGTTGGCGGTTGGGAGGTGGGGACGGCTAGAAGAAAAGAGAGAAGGGGAAAAAAATAAAAACCAAGAGCTCCCACGAAGGGGGCTGTTGGGTAGTTCGTGTGAGCCTCTCCTAGGCTACTCCTCTCCTCTCGATCTCACAAAGAGATCATGAGCAAAAGCTGAAATTTTCATATCAATATTCATCATCCAAATTACAAGAGAGCTTTCCTATAAATAGGCCTCATGAAAGGAAAAAAAATAAAGACTAAAATGCCCTTCGGGCTACAACACCACATGATCATTCTTAAGGGTAAAATGAGAAAAACAGTAATATAAGATAAACTAGTACATAAGACATAAAAAAATAAAATAAAGTCTAGATCGCAGCCGTTGATCTTCTGATGTCCTCATCACTAAGACAGCTTATCACAGCATTCATGCATCTGCCATGAATCCTTACATAGCCCCATCAATCACGTTTGACTAGAACTGATACTTAATCAAGAAGTATTAATGTAATAGGAAATGTAGCTACACTAAAGATTTAACAAGTCACAATAGAACTGTTTATTAGTCAAATAAGATTTTTTTGGGAATCCAAGAACAACTTCTGAGGTTTAAACTTTCAGCCCTGAAGTCCTCCAGGAAAAGGACAGTACTCCAACAAAAGCCTACCGGGGATAGATCACAGTAACTTAATGAAATCTAGGGCCAGCGTGAACACATCTGAAATGCAAGGAATTAAGAATTATAGATAAAATGATGAGACACAAAAGGCAGTACAATTCAGACATAAGTACCTGATTGTGGTGAGTAGCATTTTTGAGAAATTAATGGCTACCAAAGCTGATTTTTAGCTCAATATTTAGAGAGTTATTCTGGAGTTTGTGGCAGAACAAAAAGAGATTTAGAAGGGTATATTAATACAAATGCCAAGAATCCTCTAGTTTGGGCTGATACATAAGATTATTTAGGGAGTGACTTTTACATGAGATAAATGGCTAGAAAAGATGGTGGAGGGTTAACTTACGATGAGAACTTATGATCAAAATTTGATGATAGAGTTTGGCAAAGTTTAAGAAGAAGTCGAGATATAGGGAATAAGACTGGATCCAAGAGTCCCTTAGTTGAGCCAAGAGTATGTGGGAGTATTTAGAATGGTTTTAAGGCTTCCGTTGCTAGTTTATTGGTCTTAAAGGATGCTTATAAAGTGCAGGACGAAATTAGAGGAGATGTTTAAGATGGGTAACAGGTAACTTAGAAGAAAATACAAAGATAAGCAAACTACTTGAAGCTATCAAGAACCAAATAAATTAAGGGCAGTTTGCCACTAAAACCTTCATTCATCAATAATAATTACAAAGATTTTCAATTCATATTTATAGGCATTATAAGATTCGCAGACACTCACTTTTGGAAGAAATAAGTGGAGGGAAAAAAAGGCAGGGAAAAGTGGGTAGGTTGTTATTAATGAGAAAAGTTACATCTACCTATTTTTAATACCTCAATCATGTCATGGTTGGTCATATAAGTTTCTAGATTGAAAATTAAATATGAATGACATATAAAATATTCAAAACTATAAGCTCTTTATCAGGCTCTTGTACTTAAAATCTATTATTTGATCTTATTTTTCAGCTTTAGTCTTAGCCAATGTTCAAAATTGCGTATTCGAGTATTGAGGCGTAAGCCTCAAGGCGTTTTGAGGCGTAAGCCTCAAAATCAAAAGATTGCATAAACATAAAATGATAATTTTTTATATACTAATGAGTGAATAATATAAAACATAAAAAAGCATAAGATATGAAGTGAAATCAAAATATCTCAATAATAAGACAAAATGAAATATAGTTCAACTCAAAATTCTATCTTTCCCAAATCTTAATATTCTTTTCATTAACATATAATTCCAATTTTCAAAACTAAATAACAATGACATATCATATAAGAACTCATAAGTCATCAGCACTGTCATCAGTAAGGGGTTCTTCATTTGAATCATCATTATGGTGGCTGCTCTCTCCCCTTCCTCCTCTCCTATAGAGTCCAATGCCGGGCATTTACTTCAAGATTTATCTAAGTTTTAATATATATAGCGTGAGGTGTAAATCTCATGCCAGTGAGGCGAGGCGGGACTCAAGGCGGGCCTCAACCAAGTTGAGGCGTAAGCCTCATAAAAAAAACTCGAGGTGTAAGCATCGAAGCGTTTTTTATTGGAATTGCGCAAAGGCGAGTTTCATATTGCGCAATTTTAAACCATGGTCTTAGCTTTTGTAATTTAGCTTTTAGCTTAATTATCTTCATCCACATGATTCAGTATTACGATCCTCTTGAAAAACAACTTCATGCAGATTTTAGCACAACTCAGACATGCGAGTTTTTTTCTTGCAAATCATATTAGCATGTCTCATATTGCTAAAGTACAATCTCTTAAGAAAGATATGGAGTGGAGTCAAGATGTCAACTAACAGGTACAAATCATGGGGCTAGCTGACTAGAATCTTTATTTCAACAAGTCAAACTCAGTTCCATGCAGCAAGTACTTCTGTCAAATAGCCACTAGCACTTGCTCCACAGCTCGCAAATGTGAGATTTAACTAAGCAGACAGGTATAACTGCATTAGTCTACAATGTGCATTGGATCCTCAGGAGCATGTTATCAAATAAGTGGCAGGTATGCAGTACTGAACCACAAAAATAGAAATCAACATCCTCCACACTGTTGAAAATTGCCAACTACCCAACTAAATCTCACTCTTAAAAAATGTCTAAAATCCACCGAATGAATGGCCGGCCAATGAAGAGCAAGAGGATCGGAGTTGCCTACTTCTGATAACGACAGATAAAAATATAGCTAACTAAAAAGAGATCAGCTATCTATACAGGAAATCTAGAAGTCTATACTCATCGGGAAAAAAGTACAATTAGATGAGTATTATGAGTTTTAGTGATTATGAATGTGTTGTATTTTACATTTCTAGTTAAATTAATTAAAAACATCCACGTAATAATGATCCTATTGAGAACAAGTATTCTCAAGTCAAATGATTGGGTTTACTAGTGCAAGTCTTTCCAACTTGATTCTTATATTCCCTAGTCAATTATTTCCAGTCACCAGTTTCAGCACACATAATTATTTGTTCTATCCATTCACAAATTCTATAGAAAAGTAGAAATTTGAAACAATTATTATGAATTTTATTGCTTGATTTTACACAAAATGAGAAAGAAAATTTAGACTTTTTCAAAAATTCTAATAATGAAAACAAGTTAAAGCTAATAAAAAACAGAAAAAATTCCTCCATATAGGATGACGACTTGAAGAGAAAGGAGAGTTGCACATATTGCAATCTCAAGGTCATAAGAGTATTGAACTAGCACACCATATGATTTATCAATCAAGAATTTTTAGCCACCCGGGAACTTGCGGCTCTACCCATAACCTAATTTAATGTTACAATTTTGTGGCAAAACCACCGTCTGAGAGCACCAATCATAGCCATTTTCCTGTGATGTCATTTTACCATGAAACCACTAGTTAAATAACATGTTACATCTTATCACGACCCGACCCGAAGTCTTGAATTAACAAGGAGGGAATAAAGGATCAGACCGTTATTTAAATTTTTTTTACTAACTTAATTATTTCTAATACATTGAAAGAGCTACTAAAACCTCAAATTTATTTTTTATTAAATACTAATAAAACATTTCTTTCAGAGCATTGCACCTACGATACATGTTCTCTCTTCTTCCACTCATCTAAATTCTTTGGATAATATATGTGTCAATTGCAAATATAGAGTGAGTCATAACACAATTGAGTATGTTATGCTTCTAAATTATAATAATACAAGACATTTTAATCAACATGCATGGCTACTGTAAAAATATAAAATAACTTTATTTAATAACATTTAAATTTAAAAATGACTACCAGACATATTTTAAGCATATATGTAATACACAAATCATGTCATAACATTTTCTATAACTGATACAATTGTCATAGAAAATAGTCTAAAAAGTACAAATGAAGGTACTCCCATTTTCTATTTCCTTTTCCAAAACCTTTCATTTCACGCATGTGCGTACATTACATTTACAGTCATTACTAAAAAGGGAAGTACTCCATCAATCAACATGTGCATGCAAGTATAACTATTTATCTATTTCATTCATATAACATTTATTAACTTTATATACTAATGTGAAATGCAACATGCAAATTATTATCTAATCCAAAATGATGAATTAGTGAATATGAGAAAGATAATCATGATCTAACTTACAATAAAGACTAAATAAGCATGTCGATATCCTTAGATGCATTAAGTTTAAAAGAAAATAAAATAAATACTATAATTTAAAAAACACAAGTATTTACCTCAATTTAGAGGAGTGGGTACTCACCTTACTCCACCACTTTTAGTTTAACACTTAAATAATTACATATTAAATGTTTTCATTGACATAATTTTGAAATTATACCTAATATAAAAAATTCTCCATTCAAATTTTATTTTTTTAATATAATTAAACTAATTTTAGCAAAAAATTTAAATTATTATTATTTACAAGCCCAATTGCTCTCTCGCTCACTTTCTCTCCATATTAATTTACAAATAATCTATTCATCTCAAATTCATCTCCTTTCTAAAAAAAATCTAATATCGAATTTCTAAAATAAACTAATAATTTTTTAAAATAAATTACTATTTTCATAACATATATAAAAAAATAAACCTTCTTTCTCAATTGCCAATTTTGCTCATGGCTCTACCTCCAACCTCGCACATGGCTCTGCTCACAATTCCTTTTCCCTTGATTCCCACTCTTGGTCCTCTCTCCTCTCACTCTCTCTGTTTTAAAGAGCGAAGCGCTTCGTCTTTGCACAACCCAAGCGACTAATGTTCCTTTGCCTGTCCATTCATAACTCCTTAGTTCTCCTCGTACGCGACTCCAAAAGATGAAACCCCTACAATCCCCTCCCTTTGTCTTCTTTTAAATCAGGTAAATAGAACCGACAAACGAAGTGACAAAACAAGCTCCTCCAACTCCATCTTCTTCATCCTTGTGCAACTCCAAGAATTGGAACAGACATTCATCGGTTCGGGTCATTACACATCTTTACTAGATAGAAACGTTTGAGAATTAATTAGAGCGATATGTTCGACATAAACTCCTTATGAATTGAGGTTAAACCTAAACTTGTTAAACTCAACAAATAGTTACAGAGAATAGCTGGACTTTTCTTCAAATTTTTGGAAGGATGAATTTAACTTGAAATATTTTTATAATTTTATTAATTTTATTAATTTTTTTATGAAATTTCAAAAGCAATAATGGTTGAAGAAAAAAACATGACTGCTCCATGGGGAAAAAATCCAAACTTGCAATTGTAAAGAAGATGATAAATTGAAATTTAACTAAAAAACAGCAAGGCATACGACCACGATGTCACTATTTCAGAAGCCACTGCACAAACTTAATGATTGTTAGAATTTACATCCAAAAAAGAGGCATGAGAGGCAAAAAAGGTTCAACATTACTACCTCAAAAGAAGTAGTTGAGGTAGAAAGACTGCCAAAGGCAGATATTGCACTCTCATTAATGTTGCATGCATATGCCAATAAAGAAGATAGGGAAGAATTGCTCCACGGTTAGCTTCAAGTGAAATCTATCAAAGTTTAAACCATTTTACATGCAAGTACCAAAAAAACATATATCTATAGCTTTAATTGAGAGATTGAGGCAATTCATCATTCAACAGTAAAAATAGTAACCTCTGAGTTGGTACCAAAAGTTTAATGTTTTCAAGTTACTACTAGATAACGAACTCCTTCACTTGCTTTCTATAGAGATCTTATCAGTGAATTTTCCTATGGAATTGCAGGAGTAGATGTATGGCATTTCATCATGGGTAGTCCATATTTATAATCTAGGGATGTTATCTTCCTATAGATTATAACAAAAATTTATGCTCTCTGTTCAACCTCTAGCAGAGGAGATAAAAACTATACTAGGAGAACTGATCAAAAGGCCAAAAGCTCTCTTCCTGAACAATAGCACAAGAAGATTAACTATTCTAGCTAATCTATTTCCAAATTAAGGAAGCTCTACAATCTTAACTAACTCGCAATCTCATGGTTGCAGAAAGGAAGAAAGGAAAAAAATATGACCAACAAATAAAGAAAGAAAAATATGTCTTATTTGCAAGAGCAAAAGAGCAAAAATAAAGAAGCGTGATCCGAAATGATGTCTTAATGGAGATTATCAAATCACACCATTGAAAATAAAAATCAAGCCAATACAGAGTCAACATGTGAAGACAGATCGAGAGGTAAAAAAATGTGAACAATCGGTTATCCAAATGAGAAGAAAATTAGAATGAATTTAAAATTATGAATTACCTTTTAATCTGAATTTAAAGGTCAAAATAGGAATTTGTTTATGATTTTAAGTAGTTTAGGGAAGATTTAAATTATATTATGTTGACTTTGCCAAAAAATAAGAATGAAGCATCCAAGAATTCACTAATCTTTCTCTTTATCTCCTCTCTCCTTCCCTCTAGGATTCCAATAATTTGCAAGCTACAGCAGAGAGTCAGCCACGTTCAACACCTAATCCACTACTGGCAGCCCTTCCAGTTCACTCTGCTGCCACTTACAAGTTACAACCACTAGAATTCCAAGCTTGCAAGGAGATGCATCAAACATAGGGCTTCAAGGGAAGTGTTCCGACATGTCTAGAACAAGTACCATGCTATTTTCAAAGAGAAATTGAATAGATTGAATAAATAAAATGAGAAGTAAAGAACCAAGCAATAGCATACAATCCTAAGCTTCTTAAGCTTTCTTCTTGCAAGTTTCTGTTTCCATGCACATTGGATCGAAATTGCGGCACAACGGTGATGCCGGAAAAGTGAGCATGTCTTCCACATCTTCCACCAGGCCTATATATTAAAAATAGGTCAAGCGAAAAAAGATAGAGATTAACATACAATGAAAAAAAGGTTTTTTTTTTTTTAAAGGAGCACCTGAACCAAGATAGCCGCCTTATGTTCCTTCATGCACACAAGTTTCTGGCGAGTAGTGAAACTACGAATGCTAGACTGAATGATCAAAGCAGCTGAATGAAGCTTCAGGAATGCTAGTTGTGATAGCCATCTGCGAGCATGTGTTTGAATTCTAAGAGCAGCAGCTTCACATCTCCTCATTGCAAGGAGACTTCTTGCCAAGCAACCTACAGTTCCAAAGACAAGGAACCAAAAGAAAAATTAGCAAGCATTCATTTATCCAACACTTTATGGAACAGCAACAGCATATTTGGAAAATTACAAACAAAAGCATAAGAATATAGCATAAAAAGACAGCTTATCGAAAGAAAACTGGCTTAACCATGATTCCATAGAACAATATCCATTAACTTCAGCATAAAAATACTATTAAAAATAAACAATTGACTTTGCCATGCTAACCACATTTTTTAAGCTATCTATTACCTTAATAATCAACCATGATTCTTCAAATGTGATTAAATAATTTCTCATTAGGAAGCCAAAGATATGAGCTACTATTTATGACAATGAACACGAGTCTCATATATGCAGAAATTGTCAATGGTCCTCAAGGTTATAGCTTGATTAGATGCTAAAATGTGCACGATTGAGAAAAAGGAATAAATCAAATAAACTACCTTCGTCATGCAGAAAAGAAAGACATGTATAAATTGCAACTCTCGGAAATAACTATATCATAAATAACAAACTTGGCATGAATGTGGCACAAACATTCCAGAATTCTGCATACAAATATTCGGCCATGATATTGTTGACCCGCTGTACTAAAAAAAAAAATCAATCAAAAATAAAAAAAAAATTCAATCAAAAATAAAAAAAAAAAATCAAAATAAAAAAAGGAGTCGTTCACCTGCTCTCTGTCATCCCATGACGCCGCTGCTCTTCCCACGACCTCGCGTCATTTCATCACACGATCCCGCCTCGAGCCAACTCCTTTTGCGTCGTTAAAATGAGAACGAAGGCCCTCATTCGCGCTCTCCTCTCTCGATTCGACTACCGACGGTGAAGGGCACGGAAACCAAAGCAGGAGAAGGCATGCTTTTTTTTTTAATGTTGTTTAGACATTAATTAATTATAATTAATTATAATTATCCTTAATTAATCATATTTATTCATAATTAATTATATTAATTAAAATAATTAATTACACTTAATAAAATTAATTAAAACATGATTAATTATAATTAAATTATAATTAATTCATATTAATTAATTTTAATAAATGATAATTAATTAAAATAATTAATAATAATTAAAATTTATTAATTAAAATTAATTTTAATTAAAAGTAATTATAATTAATTAAAAATTAATTATATATTATAATTAATTAATAATTAATTATATATTATAATTAATTAATAATTAGCTATATGTTAATTATAATTAATAATAAAAAATAAATGGAATCCCCTTCTTGCCTCAATCCTCGAGCCAATACCGCCGACAATCCCCGCCGATCCCGAAGGTATAACCCCTAAACCTAGATTTCCCTTTCGACGTTGGCGACGAACTAGCAAACCCCCAAGACGCTCACTTGGCGTTGTAGGGAGGGAAGCTAGTACGACGCCTACGACGAGGCAGAAATCGCCTAGATTCTTTTCTCGATGCTTGCAACGAACCGGCAAACCCCCGAGGCGCTCACGTAGCGTTGTAGGGTGGGAAACTGGTGCGATGCTTGCAAAGATTTAAGGATCCCTCTTCAAAGCTTGCAATGAGCCGGCAAACCCCCGAGGCGCTCAAGTAGCGTTGTAGGGAGGGAAACCGGTGCAGCACTTGCGGCGAATGGGATATAAAAAATGCGTTTTCTTTATTTTTATATAAGTACCCCCGAACGCCCACGTGGTGCAGAGGGGGAAATCTGTTTTTTTCTGACTCATGCTTCACACCCCTAAACGCTCACGTAGCGAGCGGGGATTTTTGATAAAATACGCGACCGCGGTGTCACTTTTGACATCTACCTGAAGCGCTCACGTAGCGTCGAGGGGAAGGTTGCCTCTTGGTTTTTCCCCTAAACGGGGGAGAGGCCGGGAGGCTGCCGAAATTCAGACTGAAGACAACGTGGACTTGAACAGAATTTTGGCCTATATGTGAGCAAGTTTTGGACATAAAAGAACAAGAGCCTGCATTCAAATGAACATGAACAGTGTACTTGTGGAATTGAATCAGAACAAAATTCAAATGACTTTTAAAGATCAAATTCAAAATGAAATGAAACTAAATTGGAATCCAAATCCAAATCAATTTGAACCTACACTTGAACTCAAAGGACTGCAGGGGACTTGAACAAGACTATAACATCAAACAAAGACTTCGAATTAGACTGGATCTGGATCCGAACATAACATTTGAACTTGCGCCACACAACATTAAGTGGGGGTTGTGGACTCGATGAACCCGAGTCTAAATGAAACATAGCTCGGACCCGCATTCAAGAAGACAAACGAGTTCCAAGTACAATCTACTTGTAAAAAAAAAAAGCAATAATTTCTGTTTGTAAGCTATAGCACGAACTCCAACAACAATCCCCACAATGCCTATTGATTGAGATGGCAATACTGGAGATCGGCAACCAAGAACCAATTCCTACAAACGAATGCAACCCAACAAATCCCGCCTGAGACTGGTGAAAGATAGGTAGGATGCAGGAGCAATGGTTCTTCTACAAACACTTTTAGGAGCTCGTAGTGGATACAACGGTCTCCTGCAAATGACTACAAACCACTTGTGGATAACAACAGTGAGAACCTCGTAAGCATAGCGAACCACTGTGGACACAAGTATGGATATCACCTACGACAGTGATGGTCAAAATCTACAAGTACACCGGGTACAAAGGCAGCCTGATGTACGAAAAAAGGGCACACCCTGGCAAAAGGGAGGAAATGTTTGAACAAATTAGAACCAAACTTTCGGGTGTTCCAAAGTCTCTTCTTAGTTCCATACTTGAGAAGAAAACTGTTCCGGTGTCTATAAACACCAAAAATAACGAGTCCGCTACACCGAAGATCCTAAAAAGAGTTCTTGCCAAATCAACAGTCATTGACTCCAAAGTCCAGAAAGAAACCTTCCCCGGTGATTGAGAAAGGGGGGTCAACATCAAAATCCAACGCCACCTGATCTGCAACACTTATACAAGCAGACATAAGGCGTCTACAATCTACAACGCTACGCCACCGGATCTGCAATACTGATACAAGCAGACAGAATGCGTCTACAAATACTTTCAAAATACCCCTGCACGTGCACCGTAGCTTTTATACACATAGGTACACAAAGGGGTATGTCAAATCAATGAAATTCCCAAATACCCGCATGGGCCCTGGCGAGCATGTTATAGGTACACACGTGACGCCTAGGGATGCTGCGCGGGTCGATAAGTGAATTCTAGTTTGAACCTGATCCTTCTATACGGACCAATAGAAGTCGACAGGGTTCGAACCTTTAAACGAATACACGGTTGTGGCGATCAGTGTATTTGTTTCAATACATTCATATTAGACCTCCAAGGCCTAAAATCAAAAGAATTAACTAAACAAAAGGCATGAAGCCTATGAGAAGCCCGATCCTCCTAAGCAAGCAAATAGGAGTAGACAGGGCTCGACTTTAGGCCTTGCAACTGTCCTCTGAGAGGCGCACTACCTGTTCTGGCCTCTGGAGTAGACCTTTGTCCCAAGGTGGGGCAAGACTTTGCCATATGTCCTGGTTGATGGCACCAAAAACAGGTATTGGTGCCAGAAAGGCACTCCCCTATGAGCCCTTCCACATTTATTGCACATAACAGGAGTGCTACTCTCTGAAGTGTTGGTCTTGGGCTTCTTCCAATTAGGCCTTCCAGAATGGAAAGATTGGGCAGGCCTTGATCTATCTTTCATTCTTTCTCTCTGGAAGTCCCTCCTTCTCTGAGTACTTTGATAATCCAGCTCAATCTTCCCGTTGCTCTATCACTAATGTAGGTATATCTTCAATACCCAAAGAAACCAATGGCTGTCTTATGCTATCCCTCAAGCCACTAAGGAAGCGATGGCATTCTCTTCTGCATTTGGGATCAGATGGGAGGCATACCTAGAGGCATCATGAATTCAGCCTCATACTCTGTAATGGTCATCTCCCTACACCAGTCTTACTGAATTTATCTTGCATTGATCTACCTGGCAGTCATTGGTAATACCAATCTCTAAAAACTTTACAAACTCCTCCCATGTATTGGTTGCTAGGTCTCCCCCAACAAGAGTTCCTTCCAACTGACCTTCACCATCTTTCTGCTTCCCCATTGAAAGCCATAAGCAGCTAAGGCAACTCTTCTATCCTGAGGGAAGTAGCATTCCCTCCAAAATCTTCTCAACTTTCATCAACCAGTCCTCTGCTTCTTATAGCTCCAACCTCCCACAAATGATGTGGCTTCATATCTTAGAATAATTTAAGTTCTTATCCATAACAATGCCTCCACTTACCTCCAGCTTGAGTCTGAGTATTTCTTATCATTTGTGTCATTGCGCCCTCATCTGAGTGAAAGAATCCAAAGTAGCATTAATTGCCTACTACCTTGAGGCTCTACTACAGCTGGCAATACCCTCCTGATCTCTCCAGTGTTGCCATTAAGTGGCATCAGGGCAGTTCCTAGCCCTGAAACATAAGTTAACAAAAACAATCTAAGCATTAAATAACCAAGCACCTTATACCTACCCTAACCTATTAAGATCATCCTATTGCCCTTTCATGAAAATCAATATCCGTCAATTCTCTTGCTCTGATACCGACTCTTGTTCACGACCCGGCCCGGATTAGCTCGCAAGTGCGACGCGGAACAGAAGTCGGACATGAAGAAACTAAAAGGGACATTTCGTGACAATTAATTATAATTCCAAAAATAAGCATTAATTTCAAGAAAGAGCCACTAAGATTTTCCAACATAAACTTTTTCTTTCTTCAAAGATCACTAATCATAAGTGTTTAGCCTTTAAGATTACAAAAAATGATAAAGAGGATCACATGTATAAACTTTTTTCTTTTCTCATTCTATTCTAATCCTCACTACAAAACACCAAAACACAAAAGAACCTGCCCCGTCGTCTCCCTACGACGGTAAGTTGCGCGGTGGTTTGATTGGCCATTTATCCCCGTTCCTAGCTCCTCTGAAAGTATTCCCCAACTAGGTGAGTCT